CGGAAGGAGCTCGGAGACTACTCGCGACCGAGTCCTCCCTAAATAACCGCAATAGAACCCAAATATTCACATAGGCCCCCCCCTACCCCAATGCGGAGCTAATTGCAGCGGTCACCAACTCGCCTAGGTGAACTCCCAATAGGCAAATAAAAGAGAATTGGTGCAAAGTGAGATGAAGCCCGCTGTGGTTTAAGGATTTTTTTTTTGCCGTTCCTCTAAATTTACGGAGTTAACGGAGGTGGCAGAAGGTAGGAAAAAAAGAATTGGGAACAAATCATCTGCCTAGGACGGTGTTGGATGATCTGGAGACCTGGAGCTAAATTTCTAGTATTTCCGAAGGACTGATTTTCCTTTCCTTCTTCCTCCCAGCCAAAAAAAAAAAAAAAAAAAAAAAAAAAAAAAAAAAAAAAAAAAAAGAAGGGGGGGGGGGGGAATAAATAAAGAAAAGGGAGAAATAAATGAAGAAAAAATAAAAAGAAAAAAAAAGTCTGGAAAAGGGGGTGTTGTGGTTGTTGATTTTTTTAAAGCAAAATAGATTTTTTTAAAGCAAAATTGATTTTTTAAAGCAAAATAAGATAGGGAAATCAGTGCAAAGCTGGTTGCTGGAGCCGTGGAAGGTGACTGTGCTTTGGGGGGCTTGTTAGTACAGCATCATAGCTCGAAGGGTCAAAAAGTTGAGGGTCAAAAGTTTACGCCGTGCGTGACTCGGTCCTGTGCGAGGGCGAGAAAAGGGCCGGGAAAGCGGCGAGGGGGCGGCCGGGGGGCGGCGGGAAGGGGGCACCGGGGCCGGGGCTCCCGCGAGGAAGCGCGTGGCGATTCCTTGGTATTTTCCATCGTTAAACCCTGAAACGCTGTTTAGAGTCAAATTAAGGGAATAGAGGGGGAAATGCATTTATTAAATCCAATTAGCCCGCGGTCCCTATAGGATATTAACGCCAGTAGTTAAAAAATAATTTTCAGTCGAGAATCAATTTTGTTTGGAGAAGGTTTAAATTATGCCGAGGAGTAAAAAAAAAAAAAAAAAGAAAAGAAAAGAAAAAGAGCTTGACATGGTTCGTGAAAATATGTCCTAACATCTTGCCTTGGAAATGCTTCTAAAACCCTTGGAGAGGAGCCTCTCTGCCTCCTCCCTGGGGCTCAGGAGCGGAAAGCTTCAAATATTTTTGTAAGAGTATTCAGTAGGAGTGTAAAATAATTACCAAAAAGAAATTAAAAAAAAAAGGAAAAAATGTGCTTGAAATCACAGCCATGATTTACTGTCTGCATTTATACCTTAATCGTGGGAAAGCTACAATAATGTAATCGGCGAAATCAATGCACTGATGTTTTTAAAATATCCAATGCAGGTATTTAAAGGAGGTTTCAAGTGCCCATTTCGCCCCCGATCCCGTTGGAGGAGCTGATTTTGTCGAGGAGCGCGTTTTCCGCCGCAGTTTGAATGGGATTTTTTCTCTATTTCTTGCTTGAAATGTGACTCCACTCTGGCCACTGCAACAGTTTAATGAACTGATATAATAAATATTTCCCTTGGCCTTTCAAAGTTATTTCTACACTGCCAGACTTTGAACCCTCCAAACCCGAAATATTATTTGCACTGGGACTGGGGAAGATCTTTTCAATCGCTTCTTAAGCAAACAAGCGGAGCAAGGCAAACTCCTAAAAAAAAAGAAAAAAAGAAAAAAGAAAAAAAAAAGAAAAAAAAAAAAGATTTTGATGCTCGGTCCCCTCCCCTTTGGCTTTTAAATATTTTCAGCGGCTAAATAGTTATAACAGGGTTCATTTTTTTTTTCTTGGAAGAAAAAAAGAGAATATTAGAGCCCTGGGAAAGGCATTCTGGAAAATACATTTGCTTTCCCGTTGCGGATATATTCATAGAGTAGGTGAAATTCAAGAGAACGTAAAGCGTTTTGTTTCGCGTGATAAGCCTCGGTTTTAATTAATTGCCATGAATTTGCTTGGTATTTATAAAATATCACTATATAAGGGCTACCGTTTAGTTGTAACTTGGGTGATCCATCTCTTCGCCCTTGTAATTACTATACTTATCTCTATAGAACAGTCATTTCTACTCCAGGTTTATAGAACAGGTAATGGATAATAAAGGCCATTTGTTTTCGGGATATTAAAACAAGCAGGTATAATTTCATGGCAATAAAAAACCCACCTCCCAACTTTCCCTATAATATTCACTCCTACATTATAACGTTTAAGTTTCAATTTAGGACTACGATTCTGCATGTTCATTTGAAGTAGATTCATTTGAAGCAGTGGAAGGGGGGAGAGAGCGAGGGAGGGAAAGAAGGAGGAAATTAAAGGGATAATTTTCAGGGATATTTCTAATTTATCTCTGCTGCTCGGGGCTTGGCCCTCGGCTCTCTCAGCCCTGGCCAGGCGCGGAAATCCCAACTCTGGAGTGGGTTTTCCTTGGATTCCTCCCCCACCCCCGCCCCGCTGGACAATCCGCGGCGTTTTAATCCCGATTTACGTGGCCGGCGACCTCCCTCTCGCCGCGCTCACTCCACGCACCCTCTTTCCGCGCCCCCGCTTAATACCGCGGCAGAATTAAAATAAGTTGCACCTCGGTAGAGTAACCCAGAGCCGCCCCCGCTGCTTCTGCCCAGAAATGACAAAATGACATTGG